GCCGCGGAGCACAGGCTCCGGACGCGCAGGCCCAGCGGCCATGGCCCACGGGCCCAGCCGCCCCGCGGCACGTGGGATCCTCCCGGACCGGGGCACGAACCCATGTCCCCTGCATCGGCAGGCGGACTCCCAACCACTGCGCCACCCGGGAAGCCCCAAATGTTGGCTTTTGTGGCAAAAATTTTTCCAACAAATTGGATGACAGCCCAATTCAAAGTCATCTGATTTTCACAGTGCAATCATAAAGAAGGTTTTTTGGGTTTGGGTTTTTTTCAAAACACTCAAAGGCTACATCAAGCCTCCTAATGCCTGTCTTAATATTTTATTCTTCAAATCATTCCCTTTTTAAATACGTCTAAATCAAAGTCATCCTTGTTGGTCTTTCTCTTCACTTTTTAACTGGTCTGTTGGGTACTGAAACATCCATAAATCATCTAAGAATCTTAACACACAAAGAAAGCACAGGCCCAGAGAGATGCACAGGCTAAATGAAGAGGGGTTTCTGAATAGGGACTAATTTTTTTTTAAATTTTATTGGAGTATAGTTGATTTACAATGTTGTGTTAGTTTCAGGTGTATAGCAAAGTGATTCAGTTGTACATATACTGATACATGTATTCATTCTTCTTCAGATTCTTTTCTTAGGTAGCTTATCACAGAATATTGAGTAGAATTCCCTGTGCTATACAGTAGGTCCTTGCTGGTTATCTATCTTATATGTAGTAGTGTGTGGGACTAATTTTATAAGTGGTATATTAGTGAATATTTTGCTTTCCTATCCGACTCTTGAAACTTCATAACCGCAAGAACTTGGATAGTGAATTCTAATGTAATGAGAAGCCCCTGTACATGTACTTTTATTACCTGTTTATACAACAAGAAGGGACACAAATCTTGGTCTGAATATCTTAAGATATATAAAATATATCTTGGTCAGGACCACATTATAAATGACTTTTTTTTTTAATGCAACATAATACTGTACCAAGGTTGTAAGGGAGTTCCTTTTCATGTAGAGTCTCTCCAAGTACTGTAGTCCCTCATCTTTTAGTAACTCCAATGGGAAATGCTGCAGATTCCTATAATTTAAGAACAAATTCTTGTGCTTTTCCAGCCTTGCCACAGAGATCGTCTTACACAGTTCAGATGCCATGACTGAACATATTCCCATCAGGCACACTGAAGCACTACATCTTGTCAAAACCGGTCCATTTCTAAAGAGAACAAAAAAATGGAAAATTATGATACTGCTAACAAACGTTGCCAAATAAACCAGTTAGCATATATAGCTATTTGCAGACATTAAAAAGTTATACATCAATTCCTATATTTTTCTTTTATAACAACTAAATTTTCACACATATTTAGGAGATTAAAATGAATAACTAATAAAAATACTCTCACTATTTAAGCAATATTTACTACTTAGCAGAAATAGTCCTATTTGAAAAAAATAGTTCTTGAACTTGAGATAGGAATCCCTAAGAGAACAGAGACCAGTTTCATAACATGCAACCAAAGAAAGAGCTTAAAAAGTTACATACAGCAAACCCATTTCCTTCTTGAACTACCTCATTTTGTCTTTAGCTTAAAACATTTTAAAAAAATTAAATGTATATAATATATAACTAGATCACTTACAACTTCATTTTCTTCACTTTTTACTACCTAAATATTGTCCTATATTCTAATATTTTCTTTCTTTTATCTCTTTATTCTCTTTTCTTTCTTTCTTCTTAGCTTTGCAGATGATTAGAAGTAGCAAAGAAACAGGCCTGTGAACATAGAGTTTTACTTATTTCAATGAAAGAAGAAATACTGCACTAGGAAATAAGAATCCTGTACTTTTCTATTACAATCTTTCTGGGCCTTAGTTGCCTAACATAAAATGTTGACAGCAATTTATTGGTAAGGGCCAGAACCCAGAACAGATTAAATTCCTTTCTAGCTCCAAATTGACAAGGATAGGAAGAGAAATAACATTTCCCATCTTATCAACTAGCTACAGGGCAGAAACAAACTTCACATCACTTACCACAAGAAGAAACAAACTCAGAGATTCAATAATTTGTCAAACAGCTCATAAGGGAGCAAGGATTTTTTTTTTCTTGGACTGGGGAAGGGTGTCCAGCAGATTTCAAAGCCTGAAGTCTTTATACACACAGACTGACAGGATCCCACAGGATACTAAGAAAATGCTAAAACACTAAAAACAAGTTGAGCTTTGTTCAAAGGTTCTACTCTGGTTTTCCTGGGCACCCTTTCTCAAACTCTCCAAAGAGAAGTACCTTTCAAAGAAAATGTTTTTTCTTAAGAAAAACTATTTTCACAGGGAATTAATACCAAGTTAGTACAAAATGCAGTAACATAAGCTTTCAATAAGCAGAGTTTTCTAAGTTTTTGGTTATTTTCTATTATTTCCAAACTCTTAATTCCCAACTAATAAGAAAGTATTTGCTATTTTATATAAAACATCAGAGAATATGGAGTATTCAATTATATCCCTAATGCAACATGAGAGTCCAGTACCTTCCCATATTTATACTAGCTACTCACTTACTTATTTTTATGAGACATATTACTTGAATTTGAACGAGATACTCAATCTTTCCACATCTTAGTTCTCTCCCTGTAAAGCAAGGGGAACTAGGCTAGAAATAACATCGTTGATTGTATTTAGAAAGGGAAGCTTTCTGGGTAATTATTCACTGAAATAGTAAACTAGAAGCCTTTTAGATGTCTCACAAGCATCTCAAACTTAACACATTCAAAAAGAGTTTTTGATATTCATCACCAATCCAAATCCTCCCCAGTCTTTCCAACCACCAGGAAAGCCGGAAGTCATGAATGATTCCTCCACCACCTCCAATCTATCACAAGGCGTATGGTTTCCATCTCCAAAATACACCTCAAATCTATCCACATCTGCCCAAATGGAAAGCCACTGTCATCTCCTGCCTTGCCATATGTATTACTGGTCTCCCTGTGTCCACTCAAGTCACTTTGCAATAATCACTTAGCTGGGAGCCTTTAAAAAAGTAAATCCAACTATGTCTGTCTCTCTTTCTCAGGTAAACTTGCTCCCTAGTCACATGCATTCTAAATAAACCCTTCAAAAGTTTATTAAGAAAAAATAAAACTTAACAAGTATTGAGGGCTCTTCACAATCTGGCCCCACCCACTTCTCCAGCCTGGCAGCACCCTCCCTGGCTTCTCACCAAACTCCTGGGCTTTTCTAGTGCTTGAAAGTTCTAAGTTCTTCACACCACTTCCTGCTCTCCTTTAGCCTTTGAAAGCACTGTCCCAACGCCCTTCAGGTTTCAATGTAAAAATCACTTCCCCATCCCAAGCTAGTCTTCTCTCTTACTCTTTCTTTGTAGGACTCTTCACAATTTGTAATCTATATATTTATTGGTGTATCTATCTATCGTCAATCTAGCCAAGAGACTGTACCGTAAGCTCCTGAGGGCAGAGACCTTGCTGTTGTCTTTACATTTGTATACCTGCCTCTAGCACAAAGTAGGCCCTCAAACAGCTGATGAACAACTGACAGTAGGACATGTAATATTATAAGGTAGATTTTTTTTCACCTCTTATCTAAGGTCAGCTTGCAGATACTATATGCTGAGTGCGTGCTATGTGCAATAAAGATCTCTCAATCCTTAAAACTCTGCACTGCAATAGACATTATTTAGCCTATTTTATAGATGAGGAAACTGAGTTTCTCAGAGGGTAACTTGCCAGAATACCAACCCAGGTGTTCAACTCCAAAGCCTGTGCATTGCTCTACAAGGCAGACTTCCATGAACTTCAGTGGGACCTGTGCTTCTTCCTATTATTATTTAACTGGTAGGCAAAGCTTATACAAATCTAAGACTACAAAGCAAAACCCACACTCCCTGATGGGAAGATCCAATAAGAGAATACAGTGTAACCTGACGGCTTTCCTTCTAATCCTGCTGATCTTGCTAGGAAGGCAGTTTGGGAGATGAAATCTACACAAATGAAATCTGAAAGCTTTCAATAATAAATAATGGTAATGGTTTTCCGTATGCATTCACTGGCAATGCACAGCCTTTACCAGCATAATTTTCTTACACATATTCCCTTCACTACCTCTTATCTACGATTAAAAGCAAATGGTATACTTAATATTAGCTGTATACAACTGCACCTGCATAACAGTTTTCTGACAGGTAAACACCAATCCACTCTATTATTATTTAAAGCAAACTAACCTTTCCATCTTAAGAAAATTCCACACATTTTAAAACAGGTGTGTTTTAAGGGAAAGGAGTCCCTTAGATTGACTTCCGTACTTAATTCAGTGGAATGCCCACTCCAATTTCCTAATATTGTAGATTAATGAATTAAAACCCGCACATTAAAAGCATTTATTAAAGGTTATTTTCTCAGTACTGAAAAGAAGGCTGGCAGAAGTCTTCGGCAAAACACCTGCCGTTTTGCCCGAGTTAACGAAACACTCTGGTTGGTAGAGTTTGGAAGCAGTGAGCCCAGGGGCAGAGATTTCACAGACCCGGTATCGGGATTCTACGACCACCGAGGGCGAGGAGGGCCCGGCAGTTGTGTCGACCCGAGGCCCGGGCGGGCCCGCTCGGGCCGGGGTCCACTCGCTGCAGCCCGGACGCTTCTGCCAGGCCCGGCCTCAGGGCCGGGGGTCGGGCCAGAGGGCCTTGCTGCGTGAGCCACCCGAAAGGGCGAAGTGCCACACTCACCTCGACCAGCGGAGCCAGCGCTCCCGGGCGCAGGGTCGCTGGACGGCAAGCCGGGACTCGGCGGGCGGGGCGGGGCGCCGGGAGGGGACGGGGCGGGGCGCGTACGACGCGGGGCGGGACGGGGCGGAACCCTCACTTCAGAGGGTTGGGGGAAGACAGAGAGGAGGAGAGGAAGACGGAACCTCGCGATAAGGCTCCGCCGTTCTCGCGGTTTTTACGATAGATCGCACGAGAGGCTTGTTTTCCAAGCGATGTGCCTATTGGCCAACAATGTGGCTTCTCCGCGACTTGGCCCCGCCCCTGGCCCGGTCTTTGCTTCCGGCTCCGGCTTCCGGGTTTGTCGGCCCGGGTCAAAAGCTGAGATCAGCTTTTTGCTCAGAGTTTTGAGGGGGTAGTTTAGCCGGCTGCAGCGTCAGGGACCGTCAGTAACTGATCAGTTCTTTCTTCATGCATTCACTGACGCACTCGTCCTCTCAAGGCATACGTTGAGAAATTACAACAGTAATAACGCCCAGTCGCTTTACTGTATACCAGGCAGCGTTCTAAGCTCTGTGCATAGGTTATCTCAACCCTCACAACAATCCTATGACACAGGTACTCTTACTATACTCGTTTGACGGATGAAAAATTTAGGTCAGGTAGGTTTATGTAATATGGCCAAGGTTAGTAATCAAGTAGTGAGCTTAAGCCCAGTATAAAAGAAGTCACTGCGCGCTGGCAGGTTCGTTCCAGGAGTGAGGCAGTAACCTAGTCTCTGCTCTTGAAATACCGTAGGTCTGCTGTGAGAAACAATCGTTAAAACGACAATAACAACTTTGTAAGTTAAATATTCTGGCAGTTCCTAGCATGACTGAGTAGGCCATCAATAAATATTTCTTCAAGACGGAATTTCCTATGTCAGCAGGAGTCAGCAAAGGAAGAGACCTTTATGATGGTAAAAAGAAAAAAAAAAAGCATTGTTAGGGAACAGCAAAAACAATTTTTAAGTACCTTGCTTGTTAACATGACAACTTTTCTTCTGAAATGAAGTTTTTAAAAAATTTCCTCTCATGAAACTACTGTTATTTATTGTTCTTTGGCAAGCTTGATGTTGATTATAATGTAGCAGTTCATTGTCAAGACATCCTGACTTTATAGATTTACGTTGGTTTATTTAATTACTGTTAGAGGTAAATAACCTAGAAAGCAGAGTTATATTAAATAAAAATAAGACCTATCTCAAAACAAAGTATGAGTTATAATGAAATACTTACCAATTATCTATTTAGTAAACCAGGTCTTCAGAAGTTACTGAAGTATATGGATGGTATATGTCATGTACTTCTTAGACCTTTTATACAGGTTTGCAAATACTTAAGAATTTGTAGTACTTAGAACTTTTTTGCTAGACTTAAAATGAGGAAATCTTCAATTTATGTAAAATCAAAAATCTTTCGGTTATTAAAGATCAACCCAAATAATATATATTTGCTCCTAATATTGAAGAGTCACACATACAAAAAAAGACAACTATAGGTAGAACAGTTTTTAAAAAGTAATCAATGTTAGTCTCTTAGTTTTCATTTCTTAAAAAACGAAATATTTTAATACATTAATTTGACATCTGATATTTGATCATGAAAAATGAGTCATCTTAAAACAACTTCTGCCCTCTGAAACTGACACAAAAGTAGCCATGTGATTCTTCGTATTAGTATATTATCCTATGGCCACTCTTAAAAGTTCTCTAAATTTATCAAGTGTCAGTTTCACATTTTGCCTCCCTCAGAACAAGGTGGAGGGACTTCCCTGGCGGTCCAGTGGCTAAGACTTCCCTTTCCAATGCAGGGGGTGTGGGTTCTATCCCTGGTGGGGGAGCTAAGGTACCACAGTCCTCCTGGCCAAAAAACCAAAACATAAAACAGAAGCAATATTATAACAAATTCAACAAAGACTTTAAAAAAGGAAAAAAAGTCCACATCAAAAAGGTCTTTAAGAAAAGGGGGGGGGGATCCTCTAATACAAACTAGCGATTGGACAATCTTTGGCAAACTTTAACATCATCAGGCAGCGATACCACTTTAAGAAAATTCCAAGGAAAGGACAACCCCATTTTAAAATTCCCACCTCTGGCTCCCAAGGATTGGGTTGCAAACTTAGATAAAACACTATTCTCCACTCCCTATTGGTGCATGCTCTATCATTCATTCTCCCTGGAATTTTGTGAGATACTAAGTTGCTTTATGGGAAAAGGCTGCGCCAATTTAGTCTGGAATTGCCCTACTTTAGACTTTTTCTGGTTATCAATCTGTACAAAGAATCACCAAACTGATACAGCGTGGACCAAACTGATAAATCAGACTGCCGAGACAATTGTGTAATTCGATCGAAAAAGAAACGGACAACCTCTCAAGCACATCGGGTATTTGACAAAGGATTTTACGACACAGTGAGAGATGTAAGAGTTAAACTTTTCTGATTTTTTTTTTGCTAGTTTTAAAGGAGTAAGTGTCAAAGGAAAAGCAGATAAAATGCAGGCATAATGTAAGAGTGGCAGGAAGAGAGTTTCAGAGGGTGTTTTTAGAAAGAACATTATTCGCAGATCAGTAATGGATTTTTGAATGGTAAAAAGGGAAAAAGGTAGTAAGATTAATAGTAGATTATTTTATGCTCCAAGAAGCTGTAGTTTTTTGTTGCTTTAATATGGATTTAGAGGAACACAGTAATATTATTGTAATTATCAGAGGAAATGAATATTTTTGTATGTATATTGTCTTACCTAGCATAATAGACAATCCAGCTGTTAAAAGATATGAGATAATTATCATCATCTTTGGACCCAAGTTTTGTGTATATTTGTAGATTCGGAGATCCAGGGACAGATCTGCTAACAACAAAAGAAAACATAATATTGGTATATGAAACAGAATCAGTAGGTAATGAATGTAAGGATAAATTCTCAAAAATGAAATCCAGCATTTATACTTTCAAAAATGATATTTTCACTAAAACTAAAATATAAAAGTTCAGGAAATACTGATAAATGAGGATAATGTATATTAAAACATATTTGAAATAGCAACATTTTTTTAAAATCCAGCCCAATAAAAAATTCCAAAATATAACATCTTAAAGATTCTTCAAACATTAATTCAACTAGTAAATATAATACCTAGTAGCACACCTATACCTCTACAAGGCCTAACTCAGAGTAGGTATGCAATAAATATTTCTTGAGGGTTCTCTGTTAATCCATATATGGGGATATAAAGTAATAAAATACAGTCTCTCAAGAAGCTCATACTCTAGCTGGGAGAAAGAGACTCAAAAAGTTTAAATGAAGACTTCTGGATAGTTTTTGGTGCATAGATGACTGCTGTAGACCCTAGATGCTTCAGGTTCTCAGATCAGTGTGAGCAGAAATATTCAGGGAGAGATTCACAGTAGGGTTAAGACACATTTTGAGCTTCAGCAATGAGCAAACTTTCAGTAGATAGAAAAGGAAAGAAACGGCATCCCGGGTAGTGGGTGAGTTGTTAGCAAATATGTGCAGCCTAAAGAATAGAGAATAATTAGCTCTGACGCAGCAAAAGCTTCATTTGGGGACCTTGGTATAATAAAAAAATTTTTTAAAAGCATGAAAACTTACACGAAAAGTCAAAATTGCTAGAATTAAGGAGTTTGGTCTTGCGTTTTAAAGGTAATATTTGAAAAAGATAAAACTGACATTGCAAGAACAGAGACCAGAAGCTATAAATAATGGAGTGCAGATTGGTAACAACCTCGTAAGACATTTTCTCCAAATACCTTCACATGGTTAAATAATATAAATCTTGATGCATTTCTTTCTATTCTTCTAAAGCATTGAGCTTATTTTTTGTTAAACACTACAAATATAAATTTTATTAGATGAGGTGTTAGTTGTGGTGTAATAAAACAGTAAAAGTAATTGTTTACATTGCATCAGTTCTTGCTCCTTTTCCCTCAGAATTTAACGGTTTCTTGTTTCCATTTAACTGAATTGAAGGAATTTCAACCAAAAAAAAAAAAAAGTTGTGACTGAAGAACACCATGGGAAGATGGGAGATATTTGTACTCAGACTGTAGGCTTTCACCTGATCTGTTTCTCTGAGACAAAACTCAGTTCCCTACCTCAGTGAGCTGCTACCATGTACCAGATGATATCCTCAGTGTTGGGCAAAAAAAGGTGAATCAAGAACCATCTCCTCCCAAAAAAGCTTCAGGGATACCAAGCAGGATATTTGTCTCCTGCTTCAAAATTTGCTTCAAAGAACCTGAAGTTCATCTATTTTAAATTCTTTTTTTTAAATTGGAGTATAAATGCTTTACAATGTTGTGTTAGTTTCTGCTGTACAACGAGGTGACTCAGCTATATGTATACATATATCCTCTCCCTCTTGGACCTCCCACCCACACCCCCAACCCCCGCATCCCACCCATCTAGGTCATCACAGAGCACCAAGCTGAGCTCCCTGTGCTATACAGCAGGTTCCCACTAGCTATCTGTCTTACTATTCTAAATTCTTGATCAGTGGTTCCTAATCGGATAGATGGAGAAGGAGGTTATCTCTAGCTGTGGAAAAGAATCCTGAGACAAAGTCCCCTGATAACAAGTGTGGCAGATTGCAATGCTCGCCAAATATTCCATTTACTCCCCTGGATATCTAGCCCTCTTTGGAGTTAGGGAGCAAATGAAATATTAGCAGAAGTGAGGTAGGTCACTTAAGGGCAATGGTAGTGAAAAGCCCATACACAGTTTTTCAATCTCTGTTAGTCTACCATGACTCCTATTGATGTACAGTTAAACCTTGGTCAGCCTGGATCTCTGAAAGACTGTGGATCAGACATTCCCACTCCCCACCTGCATCTCCACCCCTACTAAATCAAGTGAGTCTGTAGCATGTAGGAGTTAGTATCTTACCTCATTATAGCCTAACTGATCCTGACTACCTAAGCTCTTATCAGCTTTTCCCCTGAGGATATCGGCATTTCATTTATTTCAGTTTTCTTAAGAAAAAAATGCCCTAATCAACTGAGTTTCATCTATCAGGTAGATGATACGTTTGGGGGAAAATCACACTATTGGGGGAAAATACCATCTATTCGTAGAGCCAGAATGTTAAGACTGATTTTCAAGATTTTTGGAGCCTCTGCCATATTGTCTTTAGGAATCAGTGCTGCCCTATCTTATGAAAGTCTTGTAAGATAAGATGTACAAAAGTCAGAATTACATATAAAACTGCATGGTGGTTTCATAGCTATTTTTTAACAGCTTTAGTAAGGTATAATTTACATACTATAAAATTCACTGAATTTAAGGATATAATTCAATGATTTTTTTAGAAAATTTACAGAGTTGTGTAACTATCACCACATTCCAATTTTAGAAAATGTCCATCACTATAAAAAGATACCTCATGCCCATTTGCAAGCACTTCTCATTCCTACCCCCAGCCCAGGCAATCAATAATAAAATTTCTGTCTCTATAGGTTTGTCTTTTCTGGACATTTAATACATTATTGCAAATGGAATCATACAATATGTGGTATTTCACATCTGGCTTCTTTCACTCAGCATAATGTTATTGAGGTTTATCCATGTTGTAGTATGTGTCAGTCCTTCATTCCTTTTGTTTTTTTTATTAGAGTTGATTTAGAATATTATACTAGTTTCAAGTATACAACATAGTGATTCAATATTTTTACAGATTATATACTCCATTTAAAGTTATTACAGAATAATGGCTATATTTCTCTGTGCTGTACAATATAACCTTGTTGCTTATTTGTTTGATACATAGTAGTTTGTATCTCTTAACCCCATACCCCTATCTCACTCCTCCCCACTTCCCTCTCCCCACTGGTAACCATTAGTTTGTTCTCTATATCTGAGTCTGATTCCATTTTGTTATATTCATTCAATTCTTTTATTTTTTTAGGTTCCACATGTAAGTTATAACCAGTATTTGTCTTTGTCTGACTTATTTCACTAGGCATAATACCCTCTAGGTCCGTCCATGTTACTGCAAATGGCAGAATTTTATTATTTTTTATGGCTGAGTAATAATCCATTGTGTGTGTGTGTGTGTGTGTGTGTGTGTGTGTGTGTGTGTATCACATATTCTTTATACATTCATTTGTTGATGGTTGCTTCCAAATCTTGGCTGTTGTAAATAATGCTGCTATGAACATTGGGTGCATGTATATTTTGTTTTATTTTCTTCAGATATATGAGTGGAATTATTGCTGGATCATATGGTAGTTCTATTTTTAGTTTTTTGAGGAACCTCCATACTGCTTTTCATAGTGGCTGCACAAATTTATTCTCGCCAATAATGTATAAGGATTCCTTTTTCTCTGCATCCCTGCCAACATTTGTTGTTTGTGGTCTTTCTGATGATAGCCATTCTGACAGGTGTGAGGTGATATTTCATGTGTATTTGATATGCATTTTTCTGATGATTAGTAATGTGCATCTTTTCATGTGCCTGTTGGCCATCTGTATGTCTTCTTTGGAAAAATGTCTATTCAGGTCTTCTGCCCATTTTTTAGTTGGGTTGTTCGTTTTTGTTATTGAGTTATGTGAACTGGTTATATATTTTGGATAGTAACCCCTTATTGATCATAGCATGTGCAAATATTTTCTCCCATTCAATAGGTTGTCTTTCATTTTGTCAATGGTTGTCTTTGCTGTGCAAAAGCTTTTAAGTTTAATTAGGTCCCATTTGTTTATTTTTGCTTTTACTTCTTTTGCTTGAGGAGACAGATCCAAAAACAATATTGCTACAATTTATGTCAAAGAATGTTCTGCCTATGTTCTCTTTTAGGAGTTTTATGATTTCAGGTCTTATATTTAGGTCTTTAATCCACTTTATTTTTGTGTATGGTGTGAGGAAATGTTCTTGTTTCCATTTGCATGAAATATCTTTTTCCATTTGCTCTCTTTAAGTCTATGTGTGTCTTTAGCTCTGAAGTGAGTCTCTTATAAGCAGCATATAGATGGATCTTGCTTTATTATCATCAGCCACTCCATGTCTTTTGATTGGAGCATTTAGTCCATTGACATTTAAAGTAATCACTGATAGGTATGTACTTATTTCCACTTTACTAATTGTTTTCCAGTTGTGTTTGTAGTTCTCTGTTTATTTCTTCTTTTTTTGTTTCTTCCCTTGTGGTTTGATGATTTTCTTTATTGGTAGGCTTGTATTCCTTTCTCTCTAGTTTTTGTGTATCTACTATAGGTTTTTGATTTGTGGTTACCTATATATATGTTGACCTATAACTATATCTACTTGTTTTAAAAAGGTAGTCCTTTAAGTTCAAATGCATTCTACAAGATCTACAGTTTTTTCTCTCCCTCCACCCCAAAATTTTGGGTTTTGATGTCATATTTTACATCTTCATTTTTGTCCCTTTACTGATTATTGTCATTATAGT